ACCAGAGAAGAATGTGTGACTTTGGAAAGTACCCCATATATCTGTTTGCATCAGCTCCTGAGGCTGGTCTGAAAGCTTTGACATATTTGCCTGTGTTAATCTATGATCATAGCAGTTTATGACGATGTTTATGATTTAAAGCAGCTTGTTTTTCCTTAGATTCATTGTGTAGCCTGTAAAGGTGCATACTGGTTTAATAAGTATAAAATTGCTCCTTGCACTACTCTCTGTAGTGTAAATCTTATGGCTTTACTTCCTAACTTCTGCTTAGTAAACATGTGAAAGCACAACTGTACTTAGGTGACTGTAAATGTCACCTAAATATTAAAGAAAAACAGAATACAAATTTGATTTCATTTGTTAATGTAACAGCAAAGTAAGATGACTCAAATGCAACAGATTTAAACACACAGCACATGTTGTGGCCACAGACAGTAATCTGCTCATTTAGTTTCACACAGGTTCTAGAAACAAATGAAAGATTATAGTGCTTCAGCATAAATGCAATCCATTATTATTATTATTATTATTATTATTATTATTATTATTATTATTATTATTATTTAAATCTATATGTAAGCTGATAGAAACAATAGTTTCACTCTATCCACGACCACTTATCCCTGTGTTATTTATTATTAAATTTAACTGAATTTTATTTTTTATTTTTCAATATGTATCTTTTAGTGTTGAAAATATGAAAAAAAAATTAAGACCATTATGTGTGTTATTGACGTGACATAGTTTTTACATCTCACTGTTATGCTCCAGCAGCTGGAATTTGTCCACTAATGTCATTTTAGGTCATTCATAATTAAACCAATAAGGTCAGAATTACAAAAACGAACAAAACAAGAAAAAACAAACTCACGTCTGAAGCCTTAAAACTCACAAAACTACAAAATATTCAGAGCACAAACCACTGTACTGCATGTAAAATAATTAGCCTACATCTTTTACATGGCTCTTTATTGCTAAACATCACACACACACCACGCACGCACACACACACACACACACACACACTAAAACTTTTGTTTTGTTCCTTTATTTTGTGTTTTTGACTTAACTGGGCTCAGGAAAAATCCCTCCCATATTATTTTGGGAGCAGAAACTCTTCTCGTGTAAGGTGCAGTTTGGTCCACTCACGGATGGTTTTGGATGAACGTGGCTGTGTCCGTGTGGCCATTGCCGCGCGCGAGCTGCTCGGCGGTGAGTCCGTCATTGTTGCGTACGCCGCGATTCTCGGTGTATCCAATGAGCAGCCTGACAACCTCCAGGTGACCCTTACTGGCGGCCAGGTGCAGCGGAAGGTTACCTTCATATGGAGTTATAGGTCAATCAAAACCAGGTGCGAGAAGAAAACAAAGCAGAAGTAAATCAAATCATTTAATTCCGTACCTCTTTCATCTGCGATGTTAACGTTGGCCCCATAGTTTAGCAGCACGCGCACAGAATCCACGAATCCTTCACGAGCGGCATCGTGGGTCACGGTGAGACCGCAGGAGGGATCTGGCACATTTGGATTTGCCCCCGCTTGCAGCAGAGTGTCAATGACCCGGGAGTCCCCCAACTTCACTACCTGCACACACACAGCATGGAGGGAGAGAGAGGATGGATGCGGGAGATAATTTAGGAGAAGAAGAAGCTTTAAGGAGCTGCCCAGGGTGTGCCTGGCGATTATTATTTTTATATGTAAATATTAAATTCATCCCATGACACCAAATCCCAATTTAATGCATTTAATGCTCAATAAGTGTATTGCTATTAATTCATTGGCCCCGCATTGGCCCCGCCTCTCCTCCTGACGTTTCTTGTCGTCACAGGGAAAATCTGCGCCTGCCATTGGACAACAGCATCAGCGGACCTGTTTCTATTGGTGGCAGACAGGTAAGGACTGTGTCATACAGATAGGTGAAAAACATCTTCACCAGTTCGTCTGGACTCGTGCATGTCAGCATGTATGAATTTCAAAGTTACTATGCATAATTATGAACTCGCGAGCACACGATATGTTGGATGAGCGGTCAACGAGGAGAGCTTCCTCTCTGAGTGGACCGTTCAGCTGCAGGCCTGCACCCAATATGATCGTTCATATTAAAGCTCGTGTGACACGCAGACAGTGCACGAGCAAAAACAACAACAAAAAAGCACGTTTAAAATCAGGGCACGGGCTGATAATCAATCTGGCAAACCGGGCATTTTTCACGTTGGGCTGACGGACTTTTGGTTCGCTGCGCACAGGCCTAACAAGCACTGACAGCAGCCCATTGGTTCATTTTCATGAGACTGGAGTTCCCACTTAAATGTCTTCGCTACCTCCGCTAAAAACAGGCCTTCTGGTCAAACTGCTGCACATGATTATTTGCCTTTCTGAACAGGTTTGCTCTTAAAGGTAACTCCATCCTGGAAGAATTAATTTTAATCAAGCAAGCAAGCAATTAAACTAGATATGTATGGATTTCAAAATCTTGTTTGGTTTTCAAATGTAATTTTTTCAGTGATATCATCTTTAATAGCAGCAAATTAATTAAGCATCGAATTGTTGTTTTTTTCTTCATTTTTTCAATATTTTTCTAGTAACTTATATTTGACACGAGCATAAAAAATGGAAAATTCTGTTTTTGTAGTGTCAAGAGATTTATTCTAAAGACACTTCTTCAGCTTAGAGTCAGAGAGTAGAAACACACACGCTGCAGTTTTTACTTGCAGGGCAGAGCGCTCACAACAAAGTGGGGGCCCTGCATGTGCGCGCTCTGTTCTTGCACTTGTCTTTATTTATACACAAGAAAAGTAATACAATAATGAATACATTTGTTCAGTGGAATGTTGATACGTGAGCATGTGTGTATGTGATTGTGTGTGTGTTAGAATGTGGGAAGCAGCCCTTTTTCCTGGTAAGAGCTCAGAACTGCTTGTTCAGCTTCTTACTATCGCTGTGGGAAGATTCAGATAAAAATATCAGAACAAGTTTTATAAAGAACAATCAGTTCTAAGTAATAAAAAGGTCATCATGCAGTATTCTATCACATGTAAACTTATATCATTAAAAGCTTATACTGACTACTAAGTACAATTTTCCATTGACATACCATATTTTATGGTATTATTTATCTGGAGGCGCCCTCGCTAAAGTGAGGAAGGATGAAGGAGGTAGATGGATAGATGGAGGATTATTAAAACGTATTTCAATCAATTAATAATATATATATATATATATGTATATTGCCAACAAAGGTTATGTTACAAAGTATTGAGTTGTATTTTTGTTATTGACCAAATACTTATTTTCCACCCTGATTTACAAATAAATTCTTTACAAATCCTACCATGTGGATTCATGGATTTTTTTTTCACATTCTGTCTCTCACAGTTGAAGTGTACCTCTGGTGCAAATTACTGACCTCTGTCATCATTTTAAGTGGGGGAACTTGCAAAGTTTATTTAAAGAGAAATAAAGAGGACTACAGCAGGCAGCTCAGGATATAGCAGCCCTCCTCTGTCTAGATTGAGGCCACTAGCAGTAAGGAGGGTGACAGTTTAACCTGATATAACCTGACATGCAGTCTGACACTGTTTTTTTCTTCTTTTTTGCCTTTACCATCCTCTCTGTGTAAATGGATGCGTTTGTAGAATTCTGTTGATTTTTGATCTGACAGACATCTGCTATAGCGTATTGGTGTTTAAATAAATAAATAGTACAACATAATGGGGGGCTCTCCACACCAGCTGTACATAGAATAAAAATAGAAATACTACACCAAGAAAAAATGACAGACAAGAGGAGGAAGATGCAATAGAGGACAAGATACGCAAGTAAAAGCTGTACTGTGAAAGCACAACTGTGAAACTAAGGAAGTGATAACAGAACATCTTATTACTCCATAAAACACACTCATGCACAAACATATGTATTTATATTAATCTATAAATGTATTCAAATCTGATAGTAAATCATGAATTTCAGCTTTTTAGACTTTTGGTAAACTGTTCATCTTTTTCACTACACTTAAATCTATTTTGGAGAGTCCAAACTTATAACTGCCACATACAGATTTCTGCACTTCAAAGAATATTTACATCGATCTGAGACGATTGTATTCAGTATAATGATGACATTATCAAAGCTGGTGGATATTTGAAGAGCACATGTGAGGAGGCCTCAGCCTCTAACACAAAGCACTAGGAAGTAAAAGCTGCTAGCAAGCAAAACAGACTGAAATCGTCCAAATATGTTTAAGATCAAACGGTTTTTAGTTCAAAACGGTTTTTATTACTTACCTGTATTGCAGTCCTATTAAACACATTTTTAATATTTACATCAGCTCCATTTTGCAGTAAAGTTGTGATTTCTAATAGGTTTCCAGTTGCACAGGCATTGCAGAGTTGGTCAGAGAGACTCATATCAGGTGTCCCTTTAAAACGCAACACAAAGCAAACTTATCACCTAAAATTTTCCGCAGGCTGTGTTGAAGACTGAAATAATCCGGGAGGGTGGACTGGCCAAATACAGAAATCTGAAACATGTCCCTCCCACCCTTACATCATCCTTGACTGTGCAGCTGGAGCTGTTACTGAAAAATCCTTGTTAATGCAGTAAGCTAGCCTGTTGAGAATTAGTTAGATGGTAATATATTTGCTTTTTTTTTGGTTTTCACTTCAAATATTTTAGTGAGCAGTCGGTAATTTCTCAAATCTCTTTCTTCAGTCATGTCTTTTCTTAGTTTTGTGTTTCCAGTTCTAAAAAAAATAGCCAACAAACAAACAGACAGACAAAAGCAAAGCAAATAAAACAATGTAGGGGGTATAAGACTGTTTTAGATTACATGCATCATGTATGTTACATAAGGACTGGGCACCTAATGATATATTTTTAAAATTCAGTAGAATCAGTTTCGGGGTCACTCATCAAAAACAAGATGTGCAATAAATCTCCAGCTGTGTGTCAAAATCAACACTGATTACATGTTTACAGCTTCTATTTGAGCATGTTATGCTTGTCCAGCAGCAAAATAAATGATGCCTCTCCCACCCTTCCCGAGATACTGATATACTCCATGTAGGTCATAATTAGAATATTCAAAGAAAATAATATTACAGGTTTTGCCTATTTTTCCTGCTCCCCTGCTGATTTTCCTGCGTGACATTTTATTGATGTGATGTTTGGGCCTGTTGATGGAAAAAGCTGCATGGAGCCTTTTCACAATATCTATATGTCAGGGATACAGTAAGCCACCTGCAGCCTGAAAAACGGAACCAAAGCCAGAACTGTGACAATGATGTCTGAATAACTAAAAGCAAGCAAAAACACAAAATAATTAAATAGATAAATATAAAAACTTACGTTAAATGAGATTAAAACCGTAGCACACCTTCCTCCTGCTGTTCAGTGCGTGGCATCACATTTTCCAAACGACTCGAGCTGAAAAACAGCCCAAAAAAAAAAACGTGAAAGAAAAGAAAGGAAAAAATAAAATGTCGCCTTCACGCGTGATTTCAAGCATGTGATGCATTTACTGGCAGTTCCCGCTCGTTTTCAAAAGTAAGTCGAGTTTGTATTTCCGTTTTTAACCTGTTACAGGATGAAAGAGGGAGCGAGACACGGGGATGACTTTCGTTAGAAACATCGCGCAGTCACCGTGAGGCGAGCCTCCTCTCAGTTTAAAAAAGCCTCTCGGATGAATCCACAGCTCGTGAACATCAGAGGTTCTTTCCAAAGAGGAGGAGACGGCCTGATTGGACGGTTCCTCATCGGCTAATAGGCGGGACGGTTAACGGAACTTCATCACACGGTAATAATGGTGGTGCCTTCATTCATTGTCCATGTGAATGTTTTGAAACGTCGACGCGCTGGCGCAGACGATGCGCGCCTTTTATTATGACATTACAGATGCGGAGCAAGAGCTCTATTTCTTTTTCGTCACGTCACGGCCTGCGTGCTTTTAGTTTCTTTTTCTTTGCCGCCCTCTCCTGTAACAAGCTGTGCATCTACGGTCACCTCATTTGGTGGGACAGTTATTTCGGACTTTTCACGCAGAGAATTCACGCACAGTGGATATTTTCTTTGTTCGGACTAGTCTCTGTAAATTCCAGAGATGGGTGTTTCTGAGTGGAATCCCAGCGGATCAGCAGCTTTTGAAATACTCAGACCAGCCCGTCTGGCACCAACAATCACGACGCGTTCAAAGTGACTTTAATCACCTTTCTTCCTCATTCTGATGCTCAGACGTCAGCAGGTCATCGTGGCCCAACCTGGCCATGTGTGCATGGATAAATGCTCGGAGTGTGAGCTGCCATTAGATTCTTGACTGAAGGAGAGGTTGAGCAGATGTACCTAATGAAGTGGCCGGTGAGTGTGTTTGAGCAAATTTCACAGAAAGCATAAACTTATTATACGAGTAAAGCATTGTACTTGTCAAATTAGCATTACGGTCTCTTCAAACTGGCAAACCAGCTGCCTGATGTGTACATTTTGCTGTTGACAAGCTAAATATTATAAATTATTATAAAAATTACAGTGTCTCCTTCTTTCCATTAAAGTCATTCCCAAGTACTTGAAAATGTTCTTTGGGGTCATTCTTATGAGCAGGCGATACAATTGTTAATTTGCTCCCTGCCACTTAGTTAAGCAGAGCATTTACAACCTTCCCTCTAGCCTCGATGCACATTCCCTTATTGGGTCTCTTACATGCAAAGAAAAAAAAATGCTAAGGTTTTAGATTTAAAGCTTCAGTTACCTTTAATGTTTTTTTCTCCAAAGAAGGGACATCTCACATGACTTCTTTTAGCCTTCAGGTAGATAAAACTAAAATATAATTAAAGCTACAGATGCACCTAGTTTATTCTGGGTCAGTTTTTGGTATGATAATCCTTTGATACTATAAGTGACACAAATTTTTTAGCCTTTTTTGCACATTTGTGTTTCCAAGGTGTTGTTGCAATAAATAAAAGTAATAAAACTTGCAGTTCATCTTTTGTTTTGCTTTCTTCTCACAGGCTTGCACTGGAATCGACAATCCTCCAGAGGCAATCACTCTGTTAGAGCTCATGAACTGGGATTTAGTGGTAAGTTCATTATTTGCAGGCTTTACTCTGGGACATGCATGTTTAGGTTGCTAAACATAGCAGCAAGTTTTTCATTGAATGTGTCAAGGCACGATCCTGGTGTCCTATATATGCAACTTATAATTATATTGCTAGCTTTTTCAACATGGCTTTCAATAGTAACACATTCCAATACGTTATCTATGGTGCTTTACATACATTCAGTCAGACTACATTTCAAAACTTTATCTACATACAAAAGCATAAACTTATTATACAAGTAAAAAATTGTACTTGTCAAATTAGCATTACGGTCTCTTCAAACTGGCAAACCAGCTGCCTGATGTGTACATTTTGCTTTTACACCGTTGTTTTAAATGTCATAAACTTGACGTAAATATCATGTTTGCTGGTCTGATTACTGCCAGATCTGCTGAATAAAGAAATAACTTAAGTAATAATAATAATAGATATAGTGATATAGTGATAATAATAATAGATTTTATTTAAAAAGCACCTTTAAAAAGCACCTTGAGTCCAAGGACACTTAACAATAGAATAAAACTCCCCACACTCCCTAGCAGATCGTTACATGGAGAAACCTTTGGAATACAAGCATGCTGATCCACACAGGTGTGCACACAGGTGTACACACGGGTGTTCACAGACGCGGACTACACCTTTCTTGGCTGCTGCCTCAAAGCACATTGTGCGCTGTCTATCTTGCGTGCTGCACAATACGTTTAATATTTAGTATCTACTGTTATCTACTGCTAGCTAGTTTATTGTGATGGTGCTGTTTTTATTATGTTGCTCTTTTTTTGTTTGCTTTCTCTTCTGTTTTTTTTCTCCATACAGGTGACCAGGTGTTTTGTTTGTTTTTCTTTCTTTCTTCCCCCCTTTCTCACCGTCTCTTCTCCCCTCTGGTTTTCTTTCTCTCCCTCTCTTTCTTTCATTCTTTCTCCCTGTCCTATCCCCCAGTCATGTCTGTCCCGTTTGTAGCAACCGAAAATAAAATAAATACATAATTATAATAAAGGTCAATCAAATGGACCAATATGGCAAGGCCATGATGATCCACTTGGTAAAATAAATCCGCTTGGCATCTTTCTTGGCCTTAAGACAACAATTCTGATGGCTAAAGATCCAAACGGGAGACAAAAACAAACAAACAAACAAACAAAAAAACAATAGAATCAAACACATAATAGAGATGACAAAATGAAGATCAATAAAACAAAAGCACAAGATAAATCAAGATTGTCCATATAGACAATATTGATTTGTAAATGGTTAAATAACAATTTTGTCAACACAAAGTTCTTTATTTGGAGCCCAGTTCTAAAAGAAAGATAAGTTACTGAAAAGTGTTTGTGCTTAGTGCTTCACTGAGCTGAAATTTAAACTTAAAACATCTCAGGATATATTAAATAAAAGGAAAATCTAAATTAAAAGGACCTCAAAGTGTCTCAAAGGCTTCAAACTGAACATCTCAATATCTGCGCAGCTCGATATCTTATGGACTATCCTCCACTGCAGTCACATGCCCCTCAGACCGTCAGCTCCTGTAATTTTGCCTTTTTTCTCTTTTATTTTCAATGTGTCTGCGCCGACACCTATAAACTGGGTGCTCGCGACATCATTACCGTATGTTGGGTTTACGTTCAAGCCATTTTTCTTGTGAAGAATTATTTCGGACTTGAACTTAGTGAACGGAACCTCTTCTTTGACATTATCGTAGGCGATGTTAAACGCGGCCTGTTTGCTGCTGCCTGTCGCTGAAAGCCAGTAGGGAGAGGGGACACTGGGGCAGTGCTTGTATCGCGGAATATAATGTGTTTTCTGGATACGCGGTGCTTTTTCAGCGTTTCAATTTGAAACGTATTAGCAGCAGTCAGAAATGCAGTATTGCCGGCCACACTCACCACAGGTGGGGCGTTCTCGCTGGGTGAACCCTACGGTGGCCCTGAGAGGCCAAACAGACTGCAACTTAAGAAAACACCAGCAATAAGAAAAACGCTGCAAAAGCACACAAAACACAACGGAAATAAGAAAAAACAAAACTTACTGATTCTTTTAATTTAGTTCCATGTGTGCCTGCACCAACGCAACAGTGTGGCCACACACTCGATCTGGTTTTAGTGCATTCAGTTTTCAGGCCCCTCTTCTGTGGAACCAGCTTCCAGTTTGGATTCAGGAGACAGACACTATCTCTACTTTCAAGATTAGGCTTCAAACTTTCCTTTTTGCTAAAGCATATAGTTAGGGCTGGACCAGGTGACCCTGGATCCTCCTTTAGTTATGCTGCAATAGACGTAGGCTGCCGGGGGATTCCCATGATGCATTGCGTTTTTCCTTTCCAGTCACCTTTCTCTCTCACTATGTGTTAACAGACCTCTCTGCATTGAATCATATCTGTTATTAACCTCTGTCTCTCTTCCACAGCATGTCTTTATCCTGTCTTCCTTCTCTCACCCCAACCAATCGTAGCAGATGGCCCCGCCCCTCCCTGAGCCTGGTTCTGCTGGAGGTTTCTTCCTGTTAAAAGGGAGTTTTTCCTTCCCACTGTCGCCAAAGTGCTTGCTCATAGGGGGTCATATGATTGTTCAACACGTTCTCACTTCCGAAGCGTAACATTTTACGCTAGGTGACAAATCGTCAACATATTACGTTTTCGGCTACCCAACACGTTCCTAAATGACAACCTTTGAAAAATGAGGAAATGTGAGAACTGTCTGGACTCAATCTATACATGTTCACTCTTTTTCTTCAAATCTCTTGGAAACACGCTATTTAACGTCATTAAAGTCCTGGTTAAGGTCAGGAATAAGGTTATGGTTAGGCCTAGGGATAAGGTTCGGTTTAGGGCTGGAATACAGGGCTGGAACGTCTATTACAGCGGGAGCGTCATTGCACTGGATTTCATCCATAACCCGGCGCGTACCACAAGAACGCGGAAGGTCACCTTTCGCGTTCCTCAGGAACGCCGCGGGACGTGACAAAACGTCAGCATGTTACGCCTCGGGAGTGAGAACGGGCTCGATTGTTGGGTTTTTCTCTGTATCTATTATTGTAGGATCTACTGTACAATATAAAGCGCCTTGAGGCGACTGTTGTTGTGATTTGGTGCTATATAAATAAAATTGAATTGAATTGAATTAAAGCTGAAAGGAGGCAGAAACAGGAAGATTGTAACCTGGTGGACAAAGGAATGTGATGCAGCAATTAAGTGCAGAAATAAAGCTTTTAGGATGTTAAAAAGAAATCAGAGTTATCAG